GCCGGCGGCCGCGCGTCGTTGGGGGTCCCCCCCCCCCCGGACCCATGGCACAAGGCGCTCAGGTGGCCCCAGCCCCGGCCCTGGGGCACATGCCGGCGCCAGGTGCAAGGGCATCCCCGCCCCTGGTGTGCCCCAGGACGCGCGGCCCCGCCCCCGGGCACCCAGCGCATGAGTGGCCCCGCCCCCGAGCGCCCGGGAGGCTCTAAAGGTTGGGGACCACTGCGCTAAAACATAGCTTTATCCATGAGATATGCATTGTAGAATACTTAATATCAAAACTCTACATGCATGTGTAACAAAAACCAGCATCTTTCAATAAAACATTACATTTTGAATTAAGATAGTAAATATCCTCTTGAAGAATGCATTCTCATAAATGTCCTGTTCAGCTCTGAGATCTTGAGTCTACACCAGTGTTTCTTAAACTTTTTTAGACCGAGGAACACCAAACAATGTTTTTTTTTATGAGGAACACCAAGGATTTTTGGTCGGGGGAGGGGAGGGCGTGTGTGTGTGTGTGTGTGTGTGTTGGGGGGGGAATAATTGAGCAAAAAAAAAAATAAAGGCGCCCACCCCTTTAAGGGTGGACATTTTGAATTCTGTTGTGCTCTGCAGCACACCTCTGACTGCTTCGCGGTACACCAGTGTGCCATGGAACACAGTTTAAGAAACACTGGTCTAGACACAAGCATCTTAGGCTGTCTGTCTGCAACGAGGATTGCTGTAACTTGCATTAGCTACCAGTAACCCTGAGAGGCCAATATGATTGTCAGGGCTCGACATATTATACAATCTACTCGCCCGTGGCCTCCTACATAACAATATCAATTGTGGGAAGCTACGGGCACTTTGCTAATCAGCTGGGCAGCATTTGAATTTCTCCTGGATTGTTGCATAACAACTCAGTTTACAGGGAACACTGGTCCTCATGACAAGTTTTTTTTACCTACATACGTTAGTCAGCATATCTAAATTGGGAGAAACCTCACTGAAAAGAAATTTAATAAATGAGCTCTAGAGATGTAAAATCTCATTTAATTAGTTAACTGGCTAAATGGGAAGGGGGGCATTCTAGCACATTGGGCAGGGGCTGCTCCAGCTGCTTCCGATCCACGCTGGGCTTCGAGTTGGCAGTGTTGCATATGGCTGGAAGTGGCAACGGGAAGGGTCAGGGGAAGGGCTGCCAGCTTCCAGCCCACACACAGGCTCGCAAGCCTTGCAAGTGTGTGTGTGTGGTGGGGGGGGGGGAGGTGCTGCTGGCTCCCTTCCACCCTGTGAGAGGCTGCTGATTCCCAGCCTGTGTGGGCTGGGAGCTGGCAGCCCCCCTTCCCGCTTATGCCCCCCCATGCCCCACCATGCAAGGCTGCCAGCTCCCAGTCCATGTGGGCTAGGAGCCAGCAGCCTCACAGGGCTGGAGCCAGCCCTCTGCCCACAGCGGGCCACTTGTGGGAGGCTGCTCTTGGGTAATGGTTAGCTATTACCCATTCATATCCGTGTAATGCTCTGAGTTTGTTTAAATAAAAATGTAAACCAAACAAATATTATTACTTGGCAAACAAATTCTATACATGATTCTGAAAGTTTCATTTCCTGTGTTTCTGTTTTTAGTGAGCGACAGTTGCTTCAGGAACCTTGCTGAAGATCGTAGTGGGATAAACCTTAAAGATCTGGTTCAAGACCCGTCTTTGTGAGTATCTGACTCTTACAGCTGAGCATAGAAAAACTATGTGGCTAGACCCTCTGTGAGTCTAGTTGTAATTAGGGACAGACGTAGATATAATGAAGCATATTTTGCTTTGGTAGCAGTCAGTATACCATGCGCTGAGTCTATAATAGAGACAGATGTGACTGGAATTGCATTGTGTCTTTTTTTGAGGAGACAGAGGAAAAGGAATGGCATCATTGATTTAACTCCCAAGAAGCACAGACAATAAATGGAACACTTTGTCAGCATAACAGTGAGCATTAATGAACCACAATTCTGAGCAGTGTGATTGTTGTAAAGGAAAACACATTGTATCCCATGTTGTCTTCTTTTTTTTTATAGACACAATACATTATATAACTAGATTTTATTCTCCTGATTGTGAATTTACTGTGATTTTTCTTTACCTCAAAGGTTTTTATTTTCTTTATCTCTGATTTAATTTTCTTCCAGATGATTCTTTAAAAACTCCTGTTTCTTTCAGTACTTTTTATTTATGCCAAACAAATTTTTGGCAGCTACATACTAGAGGAATAGGTCTTTTATAGTCCCTTTTTCATCCCATAACACAGAAGTTGTCATTGAAAGTCTAAGGGAAGAAGCTGAAAAAGCACAAAATTATGTAGCTGTCCTTTCTAATCTTACTTGTTTAATGACCAGCCCAATGCACACATTCTCCCACTCAGTGCTAGTCCAATATAAGACATTATAGGACAATACAAATCATATTTCCCCCTTACAAGTTCTCTCAGTAGAAAATGGTGCCACATATAACATCATATCCAAACATGGCTTGTCCAGGCTCCCTCCCCAAGTAATATAAAAAATGCTTTTCCCAGAGTTGTAGATAGACATCCAAGTACATCACCTGCTGTAAGAAAATGTAATAATCTGTCTTTCTAGTAGAATCATTTGTACCTTTTTATAATGGACGTTAAACATGATTGGTCCCATCAACATAAACAGGTCAAATTTTTTAATATTGGCTGAGAAGCAGCAGAGAAGATGCCATATTTGAAACCTTATTTCAAACATGGAAGATTTTTAATTGTACATGCAAGCACATCAATAAATCTGTTGCATTGCTAGAGCAAAAAAAGCCACATCAAGGTCTTGAAGTTTTAGATTGAGGGAAGTAGCTTATAATGTATTTACTGTATGATTTATACTATAGAAATATAAAGAGGAGGGGAGAAGTATATTAATTGCCTAAGAAGTTATTGAATGAACAGGCTAAATTTTCAAAAATCTCTAGAGATTTTAGGTGTCACAGTTTTGTGTGTCCAATTTGAGACAACTTCAAGGGGCCTAATTTTCAGCTGAACTTTACTTTGCTTTTTTATTACTGAGAATTCTATCTGTTGTAGTGAGATGTACACTGTATACAGCTCTTGAAATCACATTTGCAACAGTCACTCAGGAGTCCTCGACGACTGTAGTCCTGTCATAAAGTTTCCCTACAGAGATGAATAGTGTTTGTTGTGGCGTATTAGTATTTTTCACAGCCTCAGAGTAATTAAATCCTCCTACTCCTTTCCCCCACCCCATAATTTGTATAAGAAACCTTATAATTCATTAATAATTTAAACTAGGAAAACAAGACTAAAATGGATTATTTTTTTTAGCATAAATACTAGTAAGTGGCTGCTGAGATTGATTAAAGGTGAGGCAAGTAGGAGACATTAATTTCGCCTCAAAACCAATACCTTTTTTAAGAATGATTATAATAGGTCTATTGTATAACAAACTGTACAAATTGATATCTCTACTCTGGTGATGATATGAATGTGTTGTGCTCTTTCTGTGACTTTTCTGATGGACATTCTTATGAGTCAGGGATTTAATAATGAGTTAACTGTTTAAGAACAGTTCTTATAAAATGTGTAATTGTGGGAGGGATTGGGCAGTGAGTTGACACAACAATGCCACATTATTAGGTTTAATCCTTTGCCAGAGGAAACCCACCCGGCTGTAAGAGACAGCTTTTCTGTTTCCTCTTGCCACCAGAAAAGTGCAGCGGACAATAATTGGGCCAACAATGTCATTAAAGGTGATTATCTCAGCATTTTTATGGGAGATGAGTAAAGTTGAATTATATTCTGAAGAGCAATTGGCTGAAATTATTTTGTATAATTGTACTGAATGGTGTTGCCAATTGTTGGCTGCACATGCATTATTCTTGGGTGCTATATTGACTTTGCACAGATAGCCAGCCCTGCAGACCTCAGTCAAACTGTTCAAAGAGAATATAGTTTCACTTCATTGGTAAAGAAACACTGCCAGCATGTCAACGAAGCATGGCCCTAGCACAGGGGTGGCCAACCCATTAGAGACAAAGAGCCAAAATAGCGGTGGATTTTGGCTGCACATGCATTATTCTTGGGTGCTATATTGACTTTGCACAGATAGCCAGCCCTGCAGACCTCAGTCAAACTGTTCAAAGAGAATATAGTTTCACTTCATTGGTAAAGAAACACTGCCAGCATGTCAACGAAGCATGGCCCTAGCACAGGGGTGGCCAACCCATTAGAGACAAAGAGCCAAAATAGCGGTGGATTGCGTGAAAAGAGCCACATACTGGAAGGGGGGGGGGGGGGGGGAA